TTAGGTTCACCGCGACATCACAACAGACTTGGAAGTACAATGTCTTAAATTGAAATTTAATGTTCATATTAAATGTTATAATTAGTAAAACATGTCCAATTACCGATACACTTGTTTGAAAAAATATCATTATTCTACAATTATCTTAATATGAATTTAATGCTGAACGGCGTGACATTGTGTTGATAAATATGTAATCGATTTACTCAAATTTATAACAAATTGCATTTGTAAATTCTTATGTACATATTATAAACAAGTACTTGGGTCCGTTGTACAACTGTGTATGTATGTGTATAGGAAATATTGTGTGTAATTATGTTATTTGAATTGTGTACAATAAACAATTAGTTGTTATCATTACTTCGTTGGTTGTGTACAGTGGGCAGGTCAACCTACTCATTTCTGTCAAATTTCTTTCTTAGATTTTCAACTCTATCGTTGAGATATAAAGTCGAAAATCCAATGACAAGAATTCAAACTTTGGAGAAGTTTGATGTGGTGGCCACTGTACTTCTGTTTTGGCTTGTGAGGGTACGCAGATATAACATATTGTCACTTATGTACCTTTTTTTATCTTATAACTTTGTTTACACGTCTCACATATCAGAGTCTTGAATAATGGAAGTAAGAGTCTAATGCAGAAGTTACAACTTGATGTATGCGGTTTGCAATCGTTGGCAAACTACTTCACGAATATAACCAAATCATTTGTTTGTTTAGAACAACTTAGTTCAATATTTGATATCAATCGAAACAATTTAGTACCTAACGTATCGAATTATCAAATAGGTGTACATATTTTATAATAAGTTAAGTTTGATAATAAGTAATTTACTATAGTGGTACATGAGTATTTACACGAAGGTATGTATGGAAGGCTACTACTTCCTATTAAATGCATCATACATTAAAATACCTCTAAAAAAACTTTGTCACCTTCATATTAATCCGAGCTGGTATGTCGGCACGTATTAGATCACGTTCCTCGTTACATGTCTATTAACTAATGGCTTGTTAAAATCCCATTCTGTTGCCAAGTAAATAAATAAACTTATGTTTATACGCAATGAGATGGGTAAGCGGTGCGTAAGCTAAAGATTACGGAGGTTAACTTATGCAGTAAGGTCACCGGAGTTTAAAAACATATATTTTTTCATCTCGCTTAAAGTTTAATTACGTGTGAATAAGACAATAAGTACTCACGTCCTCCAGCATTTGGCGATGACGCGATGAGAATGCACGCGATGACAACCGTCCCCTCTAGCAGGCTCTTCATCATTTGGCACTTGTGTTACAACAAAATATAAAACATTAATTCGAAACGAGTCTGTCAACAATATAGTTGTCCGGTGGACGGCCCGTGCACGACTGATAGTTCAGTTAACCGGCCCTGACTAGCCGCCACCACACTCTTAAGGTTATCAACAATAAATATTTTTTGAAAATGTGAATAGCTGTGATCATGTTGTGATGACGCGTGTTTTATTATTATAGACAACGCTCGTCTTAGTTTAGGATTTTCCTTATATAAAGACACAAGTTGTATGTGGTATTTGTACAGATTTTAGTGTTATTTTCTCGAATGTTTAAATTAAATTATCATTGTCGGCATTGGCGTCCAAGTTGGTCTCAAGATTTATTAAAATATAGGGTTTTGAATTGAAACAATATTGTATTTGAGAAATATGTGAGTTTAACACGTGTATGTAATTATACTTACCTGGTCGGAGGTTGTAATGCCTTCTATGCGCGACTAGTACCGTTCTGCATTATGCTGCATTATATACAATTCGTCGCGAACTTGTGTAAAGTTATTGCTTTATGTAAGTTTAATCGACAATTTGGGCGTCGGGCTACCGTGATTCGTCGATACTAAGATCAATCCTTGCACTCTAACTTGACAGCATTTACTGAACTATTTGCATTAATCTTATGTACTCTTCATTTAAAGTCATAGACTGTAGAATGGAAACCTGCGGTATAAATATATTTTTTCATTTTTCTCTAAATCTTTCTAGTCTAGACACTAGCAAACTTATACTAACGTATCTTCTTTATATTTTAAGTTGTATCCAATTATATCACTGTAGTTATCAAGTAAGTATTCGGTAAGGTGGAGAGAACAATACTTTTTAATTATATATCGATTAGTTACGGTTATATTTACATGAAAATATAATGGTTATTTTATTCTTACAATAATAAATTATGCTTATACAAGTTACTATATATACAAGGTACTTTTTAAACATCCATTACACGTTATTCAATAAAAAAAATCAATAATGAAGACTGCCTCGCTGGCCGAGTGGTCGCAAGTGCGACTGCCGAGCAAGGGGTCTCGGGTTCAATTCCCGAGTCAGGCAAAGTATCTATTACTGGGTTTTTAAACAAAAAATCTCAGTACTAGCACGAAGTCTGGAAATGTGCCTCGTGTATGGCAATAGGCTTACCCTACATGGGACTCATAACATAAGTGGGAGTTACATTATACAGTGGCATTAAGTACTGTAATGTCCATCTTTGCCTACCACTTCGGGGATAAAAAGCGTGGTGATGATGTTATGTAATAATTAATATAATTCGCAATCGAGTGGCGTAACTACAGGGTGGTCTCAGTCAGCAAAATGCCACGGGTGCCCAGCAGCAGCTGGAAGGAGCCCTTTCAGGGGTTTTCATCTGAACGTATTTGTTTTATATTAGGAACGGGGAGTCATCCGATGAATTTGCCACAGGTCCCGAATGGTATAGTTACGCCACTGTCGTAATCCTTGTATTATATTAAGTCTTATATATAAGGAATCTCTCTGCCTATTCTTCATCCTCATCACGAACTCATTTCGTAATTGGCGAACAGTTTGCTATCTGGATTCAGATTATCAACAATAACAAGAATAAATCACAATGGATTAATAGGCTCTACGGCCTGCTCACGTAACTGTTCGACAAGGTTACTCGACTAGTTTCGAACTACGTCTGGGACTTATAATCATGAGAAGCAAACGCGTGAGTAATCCGTACGTTACTTTATTAGTTTATGGAGAATCCAAAAATAAAAACTTACATGGAAAACATACAAAAAGCTAAAATCATAATCGTTCCGGTCACATCCTTGATTCCTTTTAATTATTTAGGAAACTAGTATTAATTGTGTTCGACCGAAAATGATTATTTTATGTAAATGTGTGTTTTTTCTGTTATCACGTTCACGTTGGACGTGTTTTTCTAATATCTATGACTGACTCTATAAATAAAGGAATCATCTTTAATGATTTGAAACTTTGATTGTCTTTACAAAACATTATAGACGTGGTCTAATTATACATCTTAAAAATCATCGATATCAGTATTAGTAAGAATAAATGTGTATTGATGTATTGACAACAAATTAAAACTAAAATCACTTAAATCAAACCAGTAGTTTTTTATTAATTGATGTTTTTGTAGTTCGGTCGGGATTTTGTCGCCAAAACCGAAAATGTTGAATATCTCAGAAACTAGCCACTTTCGGACCAGAGACCTCAAGGCTAATTTTGTAGGAAATTAATTGTATTACCACCGCCCGAGAGGAATACGTCGAGTTACAAGTCACCCTGTATACTTTTTACTGATACGTGTGTTTATTGAAACGTAAATAGAAACTAGACATATTTTTAATGGGTTTGCAGTGATGTTAATTAAAAGACTGGCAAGTCGTTAAATGTGTAACGTAGTGTAGTTGATACACATTTTAACAACGCATATTGACTATTAGTTTAACCACCAAAGTAAACAAGGAAGATAACAAATAATTTAGATATATAAGTACATATTTGTATGTTAAGTGTGAAAAATTGAAGCTCAGTGTTAGACAGTGTTCCATAAAAGGTCGTATTTACTCATTAATTAAATGTAACAATACAAACCTTTTGACAAGTCGGAAGGGATTCCCCGTCTGGCTGACACTTATACCGGTTTCCTTCAAGTAGATCTAGTAAGGAATTATTTATAGTTACTCCGTATTTTTTTATTGTCTGGGAAACACATTGTTTATAAGACTCATTCGATAAACTTTGTTAACTAGATAAACTTTTATAATAACACATATCTCCTCTGCTAACCATCATACAGTTGGTTGGCAGGCCACAAATGTGCACTTCTCACTTAGCTTTCCGCATCACACAGCAAAACTGTGGAATGATCTGTCATCGGCTGTATTTTCCAACCGATACGACCTTCAAACCTTCAAGAAAAGAGCGTATTCCTTTTTAAAAGGCCGGCACGCACCTGTGACTCCTCTGGTGTTGCGGGTGTCCATGGGCGGTGCTGATCGCTTACCATCAGGTAATACGTCAGCTCGTTTACCGCCCATTCCATAAAAAGAAAACGCATGGTTTCCCCGTTTATATAGGAAAATACTATAGTTCACAAAACTTGGAGAAGTGAGAAGTAAGTAGGAGTATGGGTTAAATATATTTTCGTGTTTATGTATGTGTACTGTTAGTCTATTGATTTGACTAACGGACGAGAGTATTGCTTCTACGAATTTGACGACCTGCTTATCATGTATTGGCGAGAAATTGCTAAGAACTGCTAGAAATTAAGGAATCTCATATCCGAGGCTAAGATTAATTTTGAGTACCTGAGACAATGGATTAAGTATGTAAGTTTCTCATGAATAATGTTGTATCAATTCGTTGACCACCCAAAGGTTTTACAAGTCTCAATGACTAAGGCATACCATAATGTCGTCTGCTCTCTGTTTACAAATAACAGATACGTGTGTCTTTCTAACTTAGAGGAATGGAACTTAATTTCAACATAATTACTTTAAAACCTTAACCAACAATGAGTACAACAAAATCACAAAAATAAATACAGCAACAAGTAATACTGAAGCAAACAAACAAAAAAGCATCAGGCGTTTATTTAGTAACACGTTTAATAACGGTAAAATGAGGTAAATAGGGATCAAGTTGTGAATAGAGACAGAAGAGGGGTGGATCGATATAATGAAGAATTTCCCAATATCTATTCACCCCTCTTCTGTCTCCATTCACCTCTTGATCCCTATGCACCCCATTTTACGGTACTACAAATTGGTCACAGTTCAATATAATGTAACAGTTTTGAATTCTATTGGATTAACATTTCTTGGGCTTTGGCTTGCAGCGGCGCTTTCTTTGATTGTTGATATGGCGGGTTATGTCATTGAAGAGCTTAAGTCCTATGGTGAACCATAGAACACTTTTGAAGAGCTCCCAATGAAAGCGGTCATTGCGCAGTCTCCTCCAGAATGTGCAAGCATCCTCGATCGACTTGCATATTGCTAGTTTCAAGGACCCACAATAGCTGGCGGCACACTGCGAAGAAACAATACATTTTGAATTTTTGCTTTATCTAGTGCGACAAACAAGACACTTACAAAATTCTTCTCTTTTGTATAAAAAAAAACGTTGCCACACATGCGCATGACACCCAGATCAGAAATAACAATTTGTGGATCACTTAAAGAGTTGCTTGCTCCATGCAGTAATCGAACCCGCTACACGTTGCACGGCAGCCGGTTGCCCAGCCACCACGCCAACCGTGCAGTCATATAAAATCTATATGTTCTATTCAATGTTGAAACATTTTTTTCAAACAGAGTCAGTATACAATTTCGAAGCAAACGTAGAAACAAATAATCACAACATTCCATTTGGCTATAGAGATTACACAGATTATATTTATCTAATATAATGTTTGTCTCAAAAACTAAGCAATCTATACAATACCTACAGTCATTTTCAGTTCTAACAGATAACGTTAGAAATATCATATTCTTAGCATTGAAAATGCACAAATTAGTGAACTATACACCTATTGAATAATCTCACTACTTCGGATCAATATTTACGATTTAAAGTTCCATCTAAATAGTTCGATGATTAGTAATGTGATTAAAAAAACAACAACGAAGTTGGCACAACTTTCGAAAATTTGGTTTTAGCTAAACGAAAGTTTGATATCGTGTGCCATATCAAAACCTCTACGCTTCTACCTAGCGTCTACGCTATACGCTACATCGCATCAGTCGGTTTCTACGTAGCATCTACGCTTACGCTACGCTTACGCTACGCTTACGCTACGCTTACGCTACGCTTACGCTACGCTTACGCTACGCTTACGCTACGCGGTGCCTACGTGTTGTCTACGGGGCGCCTACGACTCGTTTACGCGGCGCCTACGATTCATCTACGCGGCGCCTACGATTCGCCTACGCAGTGCCTACGATTCGTCTTGTGTAATATTTGTAGATACTGCAACGACTTTATTTGTTCTATTTAAATTCTTTGAAATTCATAGAAAATCACTGTCGTAAACAATTTCTGCTGCTGCTGATGATGATAATGATACTTCTAACTTAGTAGATTGATGCATTCTATGAACTACTTACAATACAAAAAATAATAAATTAAAGCGGCTTGCCGTACTTGAAACTGAAACAAAAAACATATTATCAAACCTTTATGTCTTTAAAATGAAACTTAAGGTTCCAGAAACAATTTTTGGTACTATTATTTACTACATTACACAACTTGGACAAAATTATAAAAAGACAGAAAACGTATTTTACATATGCATTTGTTCAAATATTACATTACAGCTGCGCAAGTAACTCCTAGGGACTACGCTGTTACAGTTACAGAAGTGCTGTTACATATGCTTACTGCGTCGGGAGGAGGATCAAAGGCGTCTGTGTTGTGGTACCGGCGATCATATCGTCTGTCCCGTCGTGCTGAGCCGGACCTTCGAGAGTCGTCATTTTCGCCTACGATTGAGCCGTTGCTATTACGCCCTGAGCGATAGTCGCCATCATTGTCGTATCCCCTGGTCCTGCTGGTGCAATAAGGGAAGTGACATGCACACATCACACATTTAAATTGATTTATATGGCCTTGTTTTAATTTGACATGTTTTTTAAAAAAAGTTAGGTGTTGCACTATTGTTGACAATTTCTATTTGACACTTCAACGTCAAGGGAACTGTCTGTGGCTCTAAGATGAAGTTAGATATAGAGGTAGCATTTCAACTTTATGATAGCCATAACCGATCCATAAAAAGCCAACCTTAGACCCTCAGGTTAAAATATGTACGTACCTACTAAATATTTTTACTTCGTTACAAATAATCTCACCTTAGATACCTCTTGCCGGGACTACAGACAATATTATGAGTTACCGCGGCTTCGATTCAAAGCAGGGATAGGAACGGGGTGGTTTTTGATCAGTAAGACTCTGACAGAAGTCATTTGTAGATTTACCTCCTTCACTAAAACCCTAGATATCTCTTGGGTTAAAATTTTGAATGCTAGAAACAATTAGGTAAACTTACTCTATAGTTCGTTCTTCCATTACAATAAAATATATTTAAATGTATATAAATTGTAGTTATATCAAAATTGAAACATGCAAATATAATTGTTTATAAAATGTAGCTGCAAAAACATAACCAACTCGATTGAAAAATGGTGAAATGTGGTCACTATTATGCAAAAGTTAATATTTTATTGCGCAATGGTTTACGAGTAATTAAATTGAGTAGAAACCTCTTTATCTCAATTTTCATTTAAATTTTGCCCATCGAGATTCAATCGAGTAAAATTATCTTATTTTGTGCAGTAATTCGAGAGTTATGTGCGTGTATTTATAAATTGTTAATATTTCAAATTTACTTTACTTGTACCATGAGTCTCATGGTAATTAATCAATTCTAACAGGTATCTCGTTCCTAACATAACATCATCACGCCTTTTATCCCCGAAGGGGTAGGCAGAGGTGCACATTATGCCACTGTACAATGTAACACCCACTTTTCACTATTTATGTTATGACTCCCATATAATTGGGGGTGAGCCTATTGCCATATACCGGACTCCGTGCTACTACTGAGATTTTTTGCCACGTTACCCGGCAGTCGCACTTGCGAACGTTGGCAACGAGGCAGTATGTTCCTGTAATATGTTAAACAAATGTTATAAATAAAAACAAATGTATAATTTTAGAATATCATTTACTGTAATAAACATGTCTTTTCAATAAAAATACTAGACTAGCTTTCTTAAGATAAACTTAAAGAAGAGAAATACAAATAAAAGTTACCGCACATATAAAATTCACGTTTCGTGACTAGCAATAATAATAATAATCTTGTCGTAACATAAGGAAAATACGGCACACAAATCCAAGATAAATGCTACCTTACAAGCTGCACCAAGCTTTAGAGAAATAATCGAGCTTTCCAGAGCTGCAACAGTACTCATAAAAATAAGTCAAAATGTTTTATATTTAGATTGAGTTTTCCATTACATCTGCCATTATATTTTCCATTAAAAACATGATTTGTACTTATGCACTTATTAGTTATCTCAATTCGAAAAGTTATGGATTGTGTAAGAGTACAAAAGTCCATTTACAAATATATGTATAATTTATTTTGACTTAGACATAAGAAATTTTCGATTTCATTTTATTATAAGAGAGTGTTTTACACAACTGTGATACCAACACAACAATTGCTACGCTTAGGTATAAAACTGTCAATAAATTGTTTTTATTTGTTTTGCAAAGGTCTTTCAATATGTTCAAAACCAATTCTCTCTTAAGAATACCAGAAATAGTACCCGTATACAAACAAATATGATTCAATAACTACCTAACATATACTGTTCCATTTCTTCCTGGTATTTATTACACATTAGCTTCCCCATAAAACATTATTGGGGTCAGTCCATAACTTTTAGAGTATTCATTCAGTTTTATTATCAACCATCGTACATCAGCTGTGAATATTTTCCAGAATCCAGTTCATATAGTAAGCTACATTAGTGTAAACACCTGGGAATCCTCCAAGTCCACATCTCTTAGAGCCGAAGGACACGATTCCTCTTTGGACATACCGCACTCCATAGTTTCCCATTTTCCCCGGGAACATGAGGGGTCCACCTGAATCTCCTCCGCAGGAATCCTTGTTTTTAACTCCACCGGCACATATTTGAGTGTCTTTTAACTTGAGCGAGCTGTAATAAAAAGATAAAGTCGACTGTTATAACAAATCTAAAGATGCTTTTGACTAAATATAAGACAAGTGTACTTATTAGTTTGAAACAAATTGTCTTCGCAAATTGCTATCAGTTGCAAATTTAGTACCTACGTCAAGCTATAAGCTAAGTCTTATCGCACCTCCTCGTATAGTATTGTAATTAAATATTTTTATTTCATATTTGCAGAATAATTTAATACTTGAACCAAACGATACTAACTCTCTGTAAGCAGTCATACAGTCAGTATTACTGATGACTGGAAGGTCGACACTCAGCAGTACGGATGACTCCAGGCCGTCTTCCGTCACTCCCCACCCAGCCACTACGGCGTTCTGGCCTATTAAGGACTCCCTCTGGAGGTCAGAAGACACTGGCAGACACACCGGTTTCATACTATCTGCAATTAATATTAAGTACATTTAAAATCACCGACCATTTCTTTAATGACAACAAGTTAATAAGTCACGTCATTTAAGTATTGTGCTTCAATATAATTTTCGGGAAACCATATTATGCAATATCTACCAACTTACCAAGACTGAAATTAGCTGGTTCAGCAAGTCGTATTAAAGCTATATCGTCAACCAAGCTCTGAGGGGTGTACCCAGGATGAGCAATAACTGACGCTATCGACACGTTCTGTGAATATAAAAATAATTAATATGCATTATCAGTTCAGACCAAAGTTATTAATAAATTGTTATGATCGCGTTCAATAGTCAGTACATTTCCCCTATCTTTAGTGATATAATGAATTCATGTCCTTCTGGCACAGGCTTCTGTCTACATTAATAAGCCACTTAACTCGAAACTAAATTTAATTTTCTCACCCTAATATTCGGAGCACAATATTTCTTGCCATCCGACATCTCACAGTCAGGGTCCTGTTTAACGTCATATTCGCCAAGGATGACTCCATTCAGCCGTAGTCGGTTGCCCAAGAAGGAGACGCAATGGGCAGCCGTCAGAACATACCTCTCGTTGATCAGGGAACCACCGCAGCTCAATTTTGGTCCTCGAGCTGGAAAAGTGAGATGATTTTTGAAAAAGAACACATTATTTTCGAATATATGTATAAAAGAATCTGTGGAATGTTTTTTTTTCATCAAACATAGTTAATATTATACCAATAAATTATTTCTTTTATCCCCTAATGAGATGACAAGAAGTAAAGCTAGAAATGTATTTATTTGGAGACATTTCCAGGTCGTTATATTCGCTCAACTGAAGGAGGTAAAGAGCAAACCTGGTTTTTGATAGGTAGATACATTGTGTCATAGGTATATATACATAGACACAATTCTGTACATCCATGGAAGTAAACATATTAAGAATAATTACAAGTTTTAATATTCTGTTGTCGCCCTTTTGCCCACTGCAAGAATGCAATCAGCTAAGATTGAAAAAGTCATAATCATCATGCAAAATGATCTTAATAATAAGCTATTTTGATTTGTCATTGCTTGTTTTGTCATTAAGAAAAATACATTGAAGAGTACTAAAATCAGGCTCTAAAGAAGTTGTTTACTTTACGTTCGACCAATGTATGAGTCATCTTTATACTCATATGTGTACTTGAACTGAAGAGTTTCTATGATCTTGCTTATCTCTAAATTAAATAGTGTAATGAAAAAAAATACTATAGTTACTTTCCAATTGTGGGTTAAAGAAAATTGGAGTTCGATACTTGAAATAAAACATCAGGGTAAAATTAAAGAGCAGGCATTTTCACTCGCCTATTAAACTCTGACACCTATTAAGTCTTAGACTGCCCATAGAAAACTATTGAAGGCAAATCGTCCGCTAACGTGGGTCACCAGTGGACCTCGTGGCGTTTAACGATATCGCCAGAGTCGCGGGGAACCAATGGATACTGGTGGCGAATTATTCAACGTGAAAGACTAAAGAAGAGGCCTTTACACAACAGTCTACAGGCTGGTGATGATGATGATGAAACTCTGATAGAAAATTAAATGTAACAATAGAATTTAACAACAAACAATGTCCTACCTGAATCATACGACAAAAGCACCATCCATGGCATTTCATACAGTCGTGTTCTATTGCCTCCCCATATTCTATCACTCTCTATGTTACCACACTGAAGAGGCAGGAGTCCCAAGTTGGGATGACTCTCCACAAGGATTGGTCCATTCTTATTGTCGAGGGTTGCTCTGGTAAACGCTTCAACGTCGTCTCCAGACCCCACTGTATTGGAATTGCGGTCTGGACTTATGATGTCTCCATGCGTTTGAGCTGATGTTATGCAGCAAACCTGAAAATTAATACTTTTTTATTAGTTTAACGAACAGTATATGGGTTTGTAGCTTGTGGCCATGGGCGGCACTGATCGCTTACTTAAGTTAGCTTAGGTGATGCGTCTGCACATTTGCCTCCTATTCCACAGAAAAACTTGTTTATTATACATAAATATGTCCATGTACATCCAACTATGCAGTTGCATTTATGATAATAGTCTCAATATCTAAGTTTGGGTCAAACAAGCATAACAATGTAGAGAATCTGTACTATTTCCCATGTCTACAGTAGTGTCTATATACCTACATAGACAATCTTTCGGTATTTTAATTTAAGTCTGTCTACTCTCGTGACACACATTTTTCATTGTTTAATTTAATGATACCTACGAACATTCTTGTTTTATAAAATAAATTATAACAATACATAACAATATCATCTCATTTCTCGAAAATATACGACTTATCTGACTCATTTACATACTATCAACTGACCTTCTAAGAAAACATTAAACTGTCAAACACCAAGCGGTCACCGGTGACCGCAACCTATTGTTCTATAATTGTGTCTACAAAACCGGTACTCGACGAGTTAATTTCGGAAATTCCCACGAAACATGTAGTAGGCATATAATTAATAAGGATTTCATAAAGTAATTAGATGTGTCACGGTTCCTTTGTGAAAACTTGGACAATGAACTTGGATAACCGTGCTTTTATTAAATAAATACGGTATTTTAACATAATACAAAGCAAGGTAACCCGAAAGAAGGAACCGTTAAGTTTGTTAACAACATTTTTTTGAAATGTAGATAAACATTGTACAAGACCTGGATACAGAGTTAAAACTAATTATACTGTGAAGTAGCACATCAGCCTGTTACATTGGACAAAAGAAAATAAGTAGGTATCTAGTTTATGTCGACGCAAAAGATAAAACAACACAACATAAAGATCAGCAGACAATATGCAGCTGATTAAATTCCGAAATATTTTTAAATATTTATAATAACTTCTGAGTTCTGTCTGCTGTTTACTATACTTTTAATTAAAATAGTGATGATCTAACTAGTAATTAAATATTTTGTTATAAAATTGTACTTAATTACGATGATCGAGTCCTTAATACTAGTTAATAAAACTATGCGATAAATATATGAAATGTCAAACATTCTATGAATAAATATCTAGGAGCAAGCAAGAGCTAGGACGCGGTAATTACCGTGGCTAGGAGGAGTGACGATAACTGCAAGATGGATGGATCTAATTAGATCGAGCTCTTTGACATGTTATTCGAAACGTCTGTGCCTACGTCTGGTCTCAACCCGATAATGATCATACGTACGAGTAGGGTTACAATCTGTAGCCTGATTCACGTAAAATCAAACAGTTGAAGTTTTATAGTCGCTCGATCATAGTTCGATCGAAGTCCTATCCGAAATCGGTATTCACGTGTTCTATAATCGGGGTTGGATAGGACGACAATTAAACTGACTCGAAACTAAACGACAACTAAACGATTCATCAACGTTTCATTGCCAGTTAAACAATTATGTATTCTACCAGAATATTAAAATACAGATTTAAGTTTAAAAAAATCTGATTTACGTCATAACAATAAAATAAATGGAATTAAAAACAATATTAATAAACATTTTTTGTAAATTGTTTAGTAAAATATAATTTCAACACTAAACCACGGTTTAAAAAGGAAAGTCTATAATTTGTCTCTGCATTACTTGTCAAATAACTGTCTATCACAGCACCGGCAAAGTTTGAAAAAATTAAAATAAAATTAAAATGAAGCAAGTTTCTGTAAGGCAGCTAGAACTCTTGGTAGATTTTATGGAGAAACATAGAATGTTGGCACTGGGACGGGTCCGAGGCAAAGAAGGGCATATTTTGTCCACTAAATTGTGGACCGAGCTAGCGGCAATATTGAACAGCGAAACAGCAGACCCTTCCATGTACAGGTCAGCGAAAGAATGGAATAAAGTAAGTACACTTCTTGCATAGCATGTAATTAACGCGAAATACCATACCATTGAAATAAAATGTTGGTTTTGTTCTCAGTTTTATAATGACTACAAATGTCGAATAAAAAACAAATCTCGTAAAATCGGACAAAACCAACGGAAAACAGGTGGTGGACCTTCAGAAGCTCAGCCGTTATCGGAACTGGAAGAAAGACTTTGTTCCATATTGGGGAACAAATTTGACGGCCTTCCAGTCCGACAAAATCCCATACCCACCTCAGAAACTGAGGATATAATTGTTCCATTGTGAGTATCTATCTACCTCTAAGCAATAATGAGCTCACCTGACTCATGATAATGTAATTTTTCTTACCTGTGTAGTGTGTATTATTTATTTTGTTGCAGAGATCACACAAATATTACAGGAGATTCTCAAATTAATTTTGATGTGGAGACTTTAGAAATTATGGACAGTGAGACTCCATTAAGAGTTGAGTAAGTATTTTAAGTTGT